AGCTGACCAATTATTCATAATTTACAACAAATTATTATCTAAAAATACAAACATCAGAAACAACGTCATTTTCCTGAAAATCTGTACGAATTACTAGGACCGAACCATGAAGTCATCGAAAAAGTTATTTCTTTTTTAAATCAAACTAAATATTATAAAAAAAATTTAACTTTTTGAATTTTAAAATTATGTATGTTTACATAAATACCTACATTTGTAAATTATTTTTAAATATCTAATTGTTATAAGACTTGTTAATTACTATAAGCCAATAACTATAGCCTCTCAGGCCTTAAAGAAAAATTTAGTATTTTTATGTATATTTTCCAAAAACAAAATTTTGAGAACACCCTTGTTACTCTCGTATACGGGCATAATTTTTTCTATAAGAATTAGTCACCCCAAAATTCAAAAAAATCATATTTATTTAAAGAAAATAAAGATAATTTTTTTTGTGATACAGTTTTCCTAACTTATACACTGTTCTTAAATTTTTGTGGTTAATATCCAAAGAACTGAGTGACAAATATAGGTTATTACGATTATTTTATAATTTTTTAGAAAAGGATTTTTTTGGCCAAGTCCGAAAAAATATAACGAATCAATTATCGATAACATTATTTTTGCACTAAAAAAATTTCTTTGAAACTTAGAAACTATAGAACTTATATATTGAGGAAGAGTTAAAATTAATTATTTTTCAGCACCATATATGTTCGTCAAGTCAAACAAAAACATACAGTCGATACGAATAGCATGCCGATAATGCGCCTTTTGCCACTATTATTATTCGTCTACAATTAAGCGAATAATTTTTCACTTCTATTTTAAATATTAGAAAAAACCTGTATACACGATAAAAGACAATTTATTTTGTGCGTTTGAGAAGCGATAAAGATTTCCACATTTCTTTGAATCGATACATGAGTGCAAATCGTGATCACAAAGGCTTACATAACTAATGAATATTGATAGCAGAACATCTCAATGAATTCCCTCCTATAAATCTATTTTGAATGCGACGATGACAAGGAATTTACTCATTTATCTTGGTGAAAATTCGCCTCAAGTAACATGACCAGTTGGACTTTGATCTAGTCACCTTGGAATCTCAAATCTGCCAAAAGAGTGAGAATATGAAAATAATTTGGTCTATACAAGCAATGTACGACACCCATCCTATACTTAAGTCGAATTAGTAAAGTAGAGTCGACAGCTTTTTTTCTAATCGTTTTAAATCTTTTAGTTTTTGTTCAAATTAATAATTATTTATATTATTATTTATTTTTTAAAACAATATCTACAAAATATCTTCAGGTACAACTCTTTAAATTACTACAGTAAAAATAAAAATTTATCCATCGTATAGTTTTTAAGCTTTACTTCAAAAATACTTTATGCCACTGTTATATGCATAAAATAATAGCTATGACTAAAATATCTAATTTAATGGTCAAGTTCAAAATATTTTCTATAAGCTTTAGTGATATGTCCTTCTCAACCACAAGTTCTCCCTATACCCATAAATAAATTTCACCGTGTATAAATGTATTCTTAATTAGTATTAATAATTGAAATTAAATAAATAAAAATAAATGTTGCCTGAGACACAGTACAAAATTTTTATTTCTTATTTTTTTTAGGTATATGGACTTGTGGTTGAAAAAGTATATAGGAATTAAGCTTACAAAAAATATTTCAAACTTGACCATTAACTTTTAACCCAACCCAACCCAACTAAAAACAAAAAAAAAAATATTGTAAATTTATATTACTCATTCATAATACTCATAAATTTATTAAATATTACAATTTTCATTGTTAGTTATAAATACTATGTTTAAATGATAATGCTATAAGAGTTTATTTTTTGTTGAAATTTTTTTAAATAATATATTACATTCATGAAACAGTGGTAATTAAAATTTAGACTAAATATAATTTTTAAATAAATAGTTATTATAATATAAACTAATAGTTGTGATGATCCTCAAGTTACAGCATAAAATAAATTAAATGGACTAGACATCTTTGTTACTTTATTAATAACAAAGAAAAATGTATTAAATGTTAGTTTACATGTGATAAGTACATATTTTTAAGGGGAATAACAATTATTTAACACATTTGTTATAGAAAAATTAGTTTTCAAATGGATCTCTTAGATGTTAAAAAAAAACCAGCACAGTGGGGTCGCGGCATAGTGGGGACGTTGCATAGTAGGGTCCAGTATAAATTTAATCTGACAGTGATTAAAATCACTATCATAAGAAACGCTTCGATGCAAATCTGTAGATAGTGTTTAATTCTAAAACATTGATAGATTATTCCAAAAGTAACATGATCTCCTATTTCCTTAATTATACCCAGATTAGTAATTCTTTTAATTATATATTATATAATTTTTTAAATTAATTGTTTTCATATTATTATTGATTTTCATTTTTAATATGTTAAAAGTAATCATTTTGAACCTACATTTTTTTGTTCTTAAAGTGAAAGTTTTAATAAAAAAAAAATTAATTTATTACCATAACTTTTAGCTCAACTTGCAAGTTTGAAATTGAAATTATTAAATAGAAAAAAATGAAATTGTTAAAATTAATATGCAATCAGGAAATTTTATAATTACTATTTACAGTACATTTATCAGAAAAGTTCGTTTTTTTTATATTTTTATTGTAATAAATCACTTAAATAAAAATCATAGTAATCATTTCTAATTAACTTTTGTTGTTTAAAAAGATTCTAGAATGGAAATATTCAGAATTTAATTAATTTTAATAATTATATATCTAAAAAAACCAATAAAAAAAAGTTGCTAAAAAGATTTACTCAATTGAGCGTATTATAAAATTTGATTATAATTGTAAAAATCCATCGTTAAATTCAGGTGAAACTAAAAATCATTTTTTTTTTTTAAATTTATGAATTATATAACAATATGTTACAAAAAAAATTGGAATATTATAGACTGGTAGTAGCACACACAAATAGAGTTAAAAAATTAATAAATTAAAAGTAAAATTATTTACTTTTGTAGTTGAATACTTTTATCATTTCAAATCTAATTCGACAATAAATACTTTAAGAATATTAGAAATTAATGATTTTAAATGTTTGTATGGGAAAATCTGGTTAAGCTACTTTCTATTTGAATAAGGAATATTTTTTCGATTTTTAAGAGTAATAACTTAAACTAAATACGAATTGTAATCATTTGACGTATCGTTGAAAAAAGTAGGTCTAGTGAGTGTTGGCAAAATAAATCGCAGCCACAAAAAGAACCACATAGTAAAATAATATTAACATGAATATAAATTTCTTTTCACGAGGGGAGACTATAGTGATAGGATCCTCTATGTTTATTGAAGTTATGAATCTAAATGAGATAAATATCAAATGATTTGAAAATTTTATTCTAACTCAAAATAAAAGCAGAATATTAATTGCCACAGACGGATTTTAACTTCGTATCCTAAGTTTGAAAGACACAAGTGTTACCTATTAGGCAACTGTTCGTTGCTTTCGCCCCATGATAAAATTAGCTATTTAAACTAACTCAAATTTAAAAATTACTTTTTCGACTTTAAAAAAGTAAAAAATTTTTAATAAGTTTAATTTCTTATGTCTTATGAACTTTATTCTATGTCAATTAAATTATGTAATATTCATGAAAGTCAGTGTATTCCCCTAATAAGATATTTTAAAATAAAATAAAATACAAAACCCAAAATTTTAATACAAAAATAGCATATTTTTGAATACGGTAGCCATTTGCGCATAGAAGATAGGTTTCGGGAAATTTTTTTTTTTTCAAATTTATAGTACATGACATAAGCTTTAATTTGACATATGTTTAAAGGACGCAGTATTTCCGGAACATTTTCAAAAATTAAGTTGAAAAAGTTAGTTTTTGTNAAGCTTTAATTTGATATATGTTTAAAGGACGCAGTATTTCCGGAACATTTTCAAAAATTAAGTTGAAAAAGTTAGTTTTTGTAAAAAAGTTGCTATTTTAAATCCCCCCCAGTGAATAGGTTAAGTGTTACATTTTCAAAAAGATAATATCAAATGAAAGAGAAATATTTAAAGGTTTTAGTATAAAAAAAAAGATGTTGGTTTGTTGATTTTTAAAAAAGTTAAGGCAGTTTTAAGTAAAAAAAATTGAAAAAATTTCGAAAATTAGCGATTTTTAAATTTGTAATTTTTTGGAGGTTTCCCCCATTTATGGGGAACGAAGGAAATTTTTTCAATTTTTAAGGGTAATGTCTTCAACTAGATAATATTTGTGATCTTTTGGCGTATTGTTGAAAGAAATCGGTCCAGTGAGAGCTGAGAAAAAGTGGTAACAGACATAAAAAAAAACACATCATGGTAAAATTAATACCTTCTCAGCTTCACATCAAAGCTAAAATCTGTGAAAAGTCCTTCAATTTTTTAAATGCTCCGAAAAAATTACAATACTAAATTATTAAATATCAAAGTCATACTACGTTGAATTGCTTTAATAGAAATTTATTCATAAATTATACTTATATATCAACTACTAATTAAGAATGACGATAGAAATATGAATTAATTTTGCTTTTAGTATAATCAACTAATTTTTTAAACTTAAAGACTATCTACAGATTTGTATCGAAACGCTTCTTGATAGTAATTTTAATAACTGTCAGATATCATCTATACTGAATCCAACTATACCACATCCCTACTGTGGTTCTTTTTTTTAAATTTTGCAAATTATGTAATTTAATTAATTGTAATTTAATTTCTATAGTAATTTTATTTATTGTCTCAACTCTACTTTGCTAAATCCCTACTTTATTTTACTTTTTTTTTATCGTGACTTATAGTTCTACCTACCTGACTTATGCAATAATTTATATTAAAAAATCAAATTATATAATAGTTATTTATTAAGTAACGTGTGGATATTTTTAAAAATTTTTTTTATAAAATTGAGATAATAAAGACTGTAAAAAAAAGGAATCAATTGAAATACAATAAATAATATAGGCACCTGAGTCGAAAACAGTTCACAAGTCTATTCGTTCAAAATTTTTAAAATAGTTTTTTAACATTTATTAAAATGCCACGTTTGTGTTTAGATACGAACTTACCCGTATCAAAAATAAACCAGGACTTTTTATCTGGTTCCTTAACTCTTCTTTCCAATATTTTGGATAAAGATTGTCAAGTAAGTACTTTGTGTTAATTTTACATGTTTTGGTGTCCCATAAAAATATTAAAGATAACCCTATTTAATTTTTCCAGAAAAATAAATATATTCAATCGCAGAAATACCTACTAAGAAAATTGTGATAAAATAAAACTTATTAAAAATAACAATAATTTTTATTTTAATAAAAAATATTTTTTTTTTGCTAAATATAACAATAGATCTAGGACTATAACGTTTTTATACTGTTTAAAATTACTTAATAATATCACAATATTAGATTAATAATAATATTTTTTTTTTCTTAGAATTTCTAGAAATAATAATCTACAATTTATGACTAATAATAAATAATAAAACGAATTTCAATTCAGAATATAACAGAATTAAAGTAAACAAAATATATTTTTATTTAGTTGATGAAAAATTATGTCTTTATAAGACACATTTCTTTCGTAATTACATGGGTAATCATGTTAGATAACTGTCACTACTAGTAATAGACACTATATATTTTATAAATAAAATTCTAAATCCATAAAGTGATGTTATAATTAGTTTCACAAAGTTCTTTAGTTAAAATGGTCATTATTGAAAATTGGATGAATTTATTAGAGGGAAGAAGCATAAAAATATAATCCAATTTTTTGTCAAAGTTCCAATAAAACTTTATACAAATATTTGCTATAAATCATTTTTAAATTCAAACATTTCAAAATTCACTATTAGGCCTTTTGAGTTTATTATTAAAATGTATAACAGAATTTCCCTGATTTTTACTTTGTTAATATAGTTAATTAAAAAGGATTAGGGCTGAAAAAAAATATTTTTCTTAAATCCGATAATCCGTTATTAAATTAATAACCATCCGAAATTACAAGTTATACATAAAATTTAAAGAACTCTGTATATTTAATTTGTTACATAAAATTAGCCACAAATATAACACAAATTCAATAACTTTTGATTCAATTAATATTTTACGTTAATTTATTTTTCAAACAATTTTTATTATTTAGGACTATACAAAAGACATAACATTCCATATTTTTAAAATTTATTAAAATATTGTAGAGAATATTTAACAAAAATTTTGGTAAAAAAATTTGCAATTAATGTTCAGTAGTAAATTATCTGTAGCATTTTAAAGTTATGAAAATTTGAATGTTCGTGTTCAATTTTACAATATTAAACATTAAAATATAAATCGAGAAAAGGATAAAAAAAAAAACGATTTTCTTTTCAAATTAGTTAAAAGTATGTAACTTTTTCCATGAAAATTATCTACTTGTATACATCTTATGTTTTATAAATGAACATAAAATTTGAGTAATTATGACCAAAAATACACCAAAATACAAAAACCTTTTTTATTCAATTTTTGGTCAAATATTATAATTAGTATATCAAAATAGTTTAGTTTTTACTGCAGAATACAAATTTTTTAGTTTCAAAATTTTAAGTAAAAAGTGATAGCGTGGATATCAAAATTAGTGTCATTAAATGGTATATTTCTAGTAGGTTTCTACTATTTTTTTATTAAATATTTCATTTATTTTAAATATAATATAACATTTAATACAATTTTATGTTATAATAAAATTATACAGTATAAATTTAATTAAAAATTATGAAAAATCTTCAAACCGGTGTGAAGTCATATGTTTACTTGATTTCAATAGTAATATTTTGAACGTTTTTATATTTTTATTTAAATAATTTTTAATGATATATTATTTGATAATGGTAACATTTTTGTTGGAACACGTATCCGTGAATTTTTTATAACTTTTTGAGTTAATAAAATTTCATTTTTTTTTAGTTTTGAATAAAAATTTTAATCTAATTTTAATTTTAAATAACTAGGCTCCGCCCCAGACCTGGGGTCCGACAAGTCTCACGCGTCTTCGTCGCGTTAACTTCTTTTGACCATCCTCGTAAGTAGGCCACTGATTCCGGTTGGAATATACGGGTACGCTGGCACGATAAGTGTTTTGCAGGAATATTAAATATTTATTTAACTTTTTAAACATGCTATAGAATTTTTTTTACAAAAAATCAAAATGATGATCAAAAATTCATATAAAATATTCAAAATATAGTGCTATGCGCAAATTCAAAATAGTGTCCTAATATAAACTCTGCCTGGACATAAAAAAGAAATGTTCAAAGCAAATAAGTACATTTGAACAGTAAGGAAAAGTTTAACAAAAGATATTTATAACAATTAACTTGATTAAATATATCAACAAATTTGTATTATAAACATATTTAAAATATATCGACAAAAAGTATTTATTAAAAGTATGCTTAATAAACTAAACATAATATATAAAAATAACAAACATAATATCAAAAAAAGATAGTTAATAAACTAAAACACAAAATTCATATATTACAACATTGACATATATTTATTATGAATTGAATAGAAAATTAAATAGTTATTAAAATAAGTATTTTGCAAATTAAGTGTAACAATAAAGAAATGCGCAGAAATGAGTCAATGCTCATATTAAAACCATGCGTGTGGAAAAAGCTCGTAAAACGATGAAAATGAACGGATTGAATTGATTTTTTTATGATATCTCAGAATTGTAATTGGGTGGGTCTGGTGAAGATTTCAAATCTTAAGTCATAAAACATTGGCGTCAGCGAGCGTTTTTTTCAATGATTGTAGAAATTGTAAAACGATCGCGGCAAAAATTTTCTGACCTTCACCAATAATTTTCCCGTTCGTGTGCTCGAGTACTTTTATTGAAAAAAAAAATTTTGAAAATCCGAGCACGCTAAGTGATTTTTCCAGAAAAGCGTTTTTTACCTTGTTCTATTATATAATAAGATTAACCCCAAGTGATCCATTTTAAATTATATAATTACATTTATTATAAAGTTAAAATTTAATGATGTAGTATTGTAATTTTTACAGAGAAGTTATAAAAAGTTATAAGTTGTTGTATACAAAGTGATTTTTTAATTTTATATATTTCTCCATTAATTAATTATTAAGTTTTTTTTTTAATGCATAAAGTTTTTTAAAGCTTAAAATATTTCCGAAAAAGTTTAATTAAAAAAGTTTTACTCTGTATACGAATATTTAAAGTTTTGAACGTCTCTGTATAAGGAGAGAAATGGTATAATTTCTAAAAAAAATGTATTTCGGAAGTAAGGGTTATGTATAAAACGTTAAATAAAAATTATATTGATCTATTATTTTTCAAAAAGACAGTAATTTAAAATTAAAAATATAAAATTTAAAACAAAAATAGCATGTTTATAACTATAGCAATCATTTGTACATAGAAAATAAATTTTTTTTATATCACAAAAATTGCAACTATTCAACAAAAAATTGTCTCGACGACTTATTTTGATACCTCTTGTGAGTCGGTAAAGAGTCAGATTTTCACAAAATTTTATTCAGTATAGTAAAATAAAGCAATACAATGGTAATTAACATAATTATATCATACTTTGATATAATCTCACAGGATTTAATGATTGAAAAAACCAATAACTGTGATTATATTAATAATCAATGCACTTAAAATTTTAAAACTTATATATTACTATTAAGTTATGTTAAAAAATAAAATATGTATTTTATAACATTACAGCTGATTTGGCTAAGAACAAAGTAAACTGATGCTTAACGGTAAAATTAAAAATTTATAAAATACATTTTATAATTTATTGAACTTCGAGTATAAAAAAAAGTCAATTTAATTTAAAGAATCGTTAGGTTACCAGTTTTTAATTATTTATAATAATTTAAACTTTGTCAGTATATCAGAAATTTAACAATAATTGCCATACCAAATAAAGTTCGTGTATTGACTTGTGATAAATAAATACCAAAGATATCTGCTATCTTCTATCTATCAAATTTTTTAATTTATTTATAGGCACTTATTCAAGCATAAGTAAATTTTATGGAAAAAGTTACTAGTTTTGACTAATAATTAGCAAGGAAAAATTTTATTTTTTCTGTCTTTTTCTCAATTCATATTTTAATGCTCAATATCATAATACTGAACACATAAATTCTAAAATGCTACAGATTATTTTTTACTAAAATTTTTGTTAAAATCTAATCTATTTTACTTTTGTGTAATCTTAAGAATAATTTTTTTTTTTTTTTGGCAGATCTTTTCGTCATTAAAAATATAATAAACTAAAATTTATTGAGACATAAAAATATTTAAAATGTTTAAATATTATCAATATAATATAATATTTAAATATTATGCTAAGAGTGCAAAATTATGAATCCGTCATAAAAATATTTTGTTTATCAACTCCCTTCTCACAAGATATATTTTGGGAATAAATGATATTTCTTATTGATATAAAAACATAATCGACATTTTTTTACAGTTCTGTTTAACAACAGTGAATGCAGATTTAAAAATGACTTTATGTAAGTCTAATGAACCATGTGGAATTGTAGAAATCATGTGTATTGGTAATTTAGGACCGAAAGAAAACAAAACTCATATATCCATTATTACAAACTATATGTATCAAAAACTAGGAATACCAAAAGATCGGTAATTTATTATTAGATAAAAAATTTAGTAAACGTACCATCTTATGGTGTGTACGGGTAAGCCGAATGATTTCTTGTAAGAGTATTTGAAAATGTTTATTATATAAAAAGATTAACAAAAAAAAAAACAAATAAATAAAAAATATCATAGAATAAATCATAGATGCCTTATCTATGATTTATTCTAGAGCAGCGAAGTCCTTAAGCCTAGTTCTGTATACAAGAGTTTGATATGTTCTTTATATGATTTTGAGCATTGCAAATTCTATAATAAAAAGCTTTAATTGATAATGCCAGTATTTTAATAGTGATATCTCCTACAAGATCAAGGTAGTAAAAAAAAAGATCATAATATGATCTTTTTTTTAACAATAACATATTATGTTATTGATTATCAATTTACATCATTCTTATCAATACAAGTCAGTTTTGACTGTCAATAAAATAAAAAATGGTAGCACAGTGGGGACGTGGCATAAATTGGGACAAGTATAGATGATATTTAACAGTGATTAAAACCACTAACATAAGAAACGCTTCGTTGCATATCTGTAGCTAGTGGTTAATTTAAAAATATTGGTGGATTATTCCAAAAGCAACATGATCTTTTATTTCCTTATTTATATCCTAATTATAAGTTTTATGATTTATAAGTGTAATATATGAATAATTATTTATTATAGTAATTAAACTTAGTATGAAATTGATATTTAATAATTTAATATTGCAACTTTTATGGAGAAAATATAAAAAATAATTAAGTAGTCTATTTTGTTACTTTTATGGCAAACACGTATAAAAATTAAAGGTCTTGAATTAAATTTTTCAGAAAATAATTTTTTGTTAATTATAAATAAATAGTCTACAAAGATTTTCTTGAGAGTCAAAAATATACTTTTCCAGATCAAATTTTTGCGCTGATTTTAAATCTGAAATTAGATTTTTTTAATCACCTATGATTTTTGACATTATTACTAATTAGTTTAAAACAAGTCTGAACATATAAAAAAATATAGATTAAAATAAAATTCAAAAACATATCAAATCAGAGATGATATTTGGCACAGAATATTTCTGAATATCAGTATGTTATAAATTACAATAGGATATAGCTATACGGAATATAGTTTTAAATATTTCAATTGTGCCATCTATTTAAATACCAAAAGTTACATAGAAATTAATTAGTAATAATCACAAAAATGTAATAAAAGATTTAAAATCAGCGCAAAAATGTGATTTAACAAAGTATATTTTGGTAAATTTAGTATAAAATCAAATTCTATCTATTATTTGTGTAGATATTTAATTTTAGAAGTACATACTTTAAATAAAATATTTTTACTAAAAAGAATTGTGAATTTTTCAACTTTAACAACCAATTTCTCATAGTGAAACAGTCGCGTGGGACAATTTTTTTATATTAACCTTGTGGTACATTTCAAAATCTTCAATATGATGTTAGTTTGTAAAACGCAGTTGTACCAGAACATATACAAAATTATGTAAAAAAAGTAATCTTAACACTTATGAGTAGTCTATTTCAAACTCTTCTTGCACTTAGGTTTTTCTTGGATTGTCATAAAAGAATACCTGATGAAAAAATATTAATTTCAATGCGAAGCTGAGAAGGTATTAATATTACTATGATGTTATTTTTTTTATTTATTTTGTGTCTGTTACCATTTTTTCTCAGCTCACACTAAACCGATTTCATTCTACGATATGTCAAAAGGTCACAAATTGTATCTAGTCGAATACATTACACTTCAAAACTGAAACAATTCCCCCATTTCCCGTAAATGGAGGAAATCCCAAAAAAATTACAATTGTAAAAATCGATAATTTTTTTCTTAACACTACCTATCATTTTTTAAAAATGGACTTATAAAAATACATTTTATTTTTTGTAAATACCTTAAGTATTAACCTGTATTTCGTATAATTTTTGTGAAAAATCTAACCCTTAACATGCCCACATGGGAATTTTCAAAATTGCAACTTTTTAACAAAAAATGAACTTTTTCTACTTAACTTTTGAAAATACTAACACTTATATATATATATCTTAATTTAAGATGTATGTAATATACTTTAATTTAAAATAAAATTAACCTCTAGACTTGTCTTAGTAAAAATGGCTACCATATTCAAAGATATGCTATTATTATGAAACAATTCTTGATTTTGTATTTTATAATTTAACATAATATTGCTATAAATTTTTAAAAAATGTATGAATTAATAAAATTGTTTAAGATAAAAACTATATATATATATACAGTGCAACCTCGATATAGCAAAGCTGAAGGGGATTAGAAAATATTCATTATATCGAGTAATTTGTTATAATGAGGTTCGATATAACGAGGCGAGCAAAAAACATTATTAACCTCAGCATTTCGAACTTTTACCTACTTATCCTGTTATGTATAACGAACTGTTTTCACTATTTGTACAGTAAAAAGAAGTTAAAAAAAAACAATATTTATTTAAAAAATCATCACAGTTTTCTTATAAAATAATAATAGTAAATTTTTCTAAAAAAATATGTAATCAGAATAGATACATAATACATATGTAATAAAAAATTAACATGGCATCCTAGTCTTGTGGTTTTTCGTTTTTAATAGAGAAAAAATCGTATATTGTCGTCTGCTTGGAAGTAGTGATAGCTATCATATCTAATGCGCAATCTAATTCATTTATTGATTTGACTATACCCTTACTCAAACCATTTTTTTGCAGAAATACAGATTTCATTACATTTGGAGCTCTACGAGCATCATTAATTGTCAATTCACATTCCTCAACTTCATTTTCAGGAATTCTTGTGCAATTAGGTGTGATCGATTGGAAGTATTTGTTATATAGAGGTTATATGTTGTCAAAATTCGTTATATTAAGGTAAATGACAATTTCTGTTTAAATCTGCAGTGATTGAAAATTCGTTATATCGAGGTATATTTTGCATTAGCTCTTACGGAGAGTTCTAGGGGATTTCAGAAAATTCGTTAAATCGAGGAATTTGTTTTATCGAGGTTCGTTATATTGAGGTTGCACTGTATATATATATATTTCATTCATTCAACATACTTTTTTTTAAAAATTGGACATTATTCTTCAAAACTTTAAACATGCGTATTAAAAATAGAACTTTTTCAACATAACTTTTGAAAATGTTCCAGAAGTGTTGACATTTATATATATATATATATATATATATATATATATTTCATTAAAGCTATTGTAAAACTTTAAATTCATATCTGGACTTGTTTTTATAGTGAAAACAAATATTTAACTTACAGAAAAAAATAAAGAAATATTCAAACAATTTTAATAAATTTTTGTTAAAAACTTATATTAAAGTGTTTGTAAGAAATTATTTTATTACTTTAAGTTTAATTTAATTTAAAGTTATTAGTTTATTAGCTATTTAGTTTAATTACTTCATCGGAATATTGAAAAAAGGGTAAAAGAGGACCAATCCCTTTATTTTTTTATTCGAAAATATTTATTTTGACTTTAAACTTATATAACTTTAAAAAGATTTTTTGTTTTCAATATACTTGACAAGGGGGATACACTGATATTCATAAAAAATAAATGAATATTAACATACATTGAATATGATGTTAAACTAATTTTGAATAATTTACCTCCTATAAGATTAATAAAACAACTTTGAATTCTTTAATTATCTTAAATTGTCCTTTTTATCTACAAATTATTGTGATGTACGGTACAAAGTAACAAAATATAATACTTAATTTTTTTTTTAAAGTTTCTACTTAAAAATTACAATATTAAATTATTAAATATCAATTTCATACTGAATTGAACTATTATAATAAGTATTTATTCATATATTATTCTAAAAATCAAAGAATTACTAATCAGAATTTAATAAGGAAATGGGAGTTAATATTGTTTTTGAAATAATTCACCGAATTTTATAAAATTAACACTATCTACAAATATTCATCGGGGTTTCATATAATAGTGATTTTTATCACCTTCAGATATCATCTATACTTGTCCCAACTATGTCACGTTCACACTGTGGCGCAACCTCACTAGTATTTATCATAAGAAAGTTGTATTAATCCATAATATTTTCAAAAAACTATAGCAGTATAAAGTTAAAAATGAAAAATATTAAATCGAAAATTTAAACACTAAAATAGCATTTGTTAAATACACATAGAAAATAATTCGTGGGGACAATTAATATTTCAAATTAATTTATATTGCATAAGCTTATTTTAAGATATATATAAAAGTGTCAGTTTTTCCGGAACATTTTCAAAGGTTAAGTTGAAAAAGTTAATATTTTATTGAATCGTTGCATATTTGAAAACCCTCACGTGGGCAAGTTAAGGGTCAGATTTTAACATAAATTATTTAAAATTTTCAACATTTTTTGAGAAAAAAAAAATCTCAAGATAGATGTATAAATATACTAAAAAATTTTTTTTTGTGTAAAATTACTCACAATAATCAAATACGCTTATCACAATCGTAATTTGGAGAAAAAATATTCGTTTTTACAAAAACACTATTTAAAAAAAAATTAACCACAAGAAACGACGAAAATTTTTTATCGTAAGAACTATTGGCAATAATTATAGTCACGAATTATTGCCATTAAGGTAAATAAATGCTAGTAAAACAAAATTTTATTTTATTTTATTTACAGATTACTTGTCTTTTTTCATTCCAACACTTATGAAGGCGCAGGATATCTCGGTACAACTCTTCACCATTTATACTGTCAAAAATAAAAAACAAATTTCCTGTAAATTAATGAAAATTTAATTATTTATTATTGTTATTATTTATTTATTCATTTCAATACCCCGTTGGGTAAAAATTATTTATCAAATTATTTAATTCAATAATAAAAATACAATTATAATTAAACTAAACAAATATATATGTGTACTAGGTGTTCTACAAGTTTTCTGTTTATAATAACTACATTTAGACAATTTTTATACAAAATGTCTACGTGAAATTAAATTTAAATGTAAAAACCTTTAAACCAATACTTTGTAAAAATTCCCGATAGTTTGTGAGCCCATTTAATAATTTATAAACAAATAGCACATCTATACTAACCTTCTATTTTCTAGTGTATTAAGCCCTAATCATGATGTCAAATCTTTTACTACTATTAATACCAGAAGTGGACTAAGACCCGAAGGCCTGGACAGGGAAACTTAAGGAGGTCCAATCATCGATTATAAATTTTCTTTAAATAATGAATAAAGATAAAGGTAATGTTTGTTGTTCTGTCCTACACAAAACAGCATAATGTAAAAAAATCTGTGAAGAAATTCTAATTTCTATTCTTATATTTTAACTATTTCTTTTGTTTGCATCGTTTGACTTGTTATTAATAACAAAAAAAGAAGGAAGAAATAAGAATAGAAATAATTACCTTTAATTGTATTTTTTCATAGTTAAAAAAAAATAATATTTAAAAAATTTTAAGTTAACTGTTATAATATAACAGTTAACTTATTATATTATATTATAATACATACACCATTCATTATCCAGTAGTCTATAAATCATTGTCTATTAGTCATCAAATTAAAAATATATTATTCTAATGTAATAATCATAAAGAATTCTTTAGTTGTGACAAATTATCTATTTTTAGTAAAATATGTAATAACTAACACAATCGAGTAATAAACAGATAATAGTAAAGGTCGTGACGCTTCTTGCACATATAGATGGAATAAATTTAATATGAAAGTATACAAAAACTGTCACTTTGGACTCACTACTCATTCACTTTATGATATTTCAACAAATGCGAGAAAAGGCTTAGCATAAATTCACAAAAAATCGAAGTTTATTTATTTTCAACCTTGCTTCCAACATCACAAAGATATACTTATATTTCACAAAATATTTATAAGGTTTAAAGTTAAGTATAATTAGTACATAAATTAAGCAAGCAACCAGAAAAATTAAGTGATTACTAGAATAAAATATTATTGAAATAAATAACATCGCTACGTTTTAACATCAATATCCTCTAAGCCTGATTTTATAGAACAATCTTTAATTAATGACCAACTCTATTGAATTTTTTTTAATAATGGTATATTTGGCCTACTATATAGAAATTTTTTTATTTAGATATACTTTTTAAAATGATTTCAAATACATGATGCCTACATCGTTGATATAAAAGATCTCTCTTTAGATATTGTTCTAAAATGACACAAGCGCCTTGTAACTTTCCCATATTAGAAGCTGTTGTGTCACAACAGATAGCCTGGACTTCATTTCTAATATCCTATTCTGTTAACAAATTATAAATTTCTAGCACTTGTTTTTTGCCTGTGCCCGATTTAATAAATGGAACGCCAAGTAGTTGCTCATCTCCATCAAAACTTATGACAACTGGAAGTCTGTCAATATTTGTTTTACTAGTTTATGATGGTAATAAATTACCATCAAAATTATCAATAACAGATGTAATTTTTTTTTTCTGAAACTTTTCAAATATTTTTTTAGCATCTTTGGTTCTTAAAAGTTCACGATATCGTTGTATTGAAGAACGGTTGTTCATTTTTATTCAATATTTAATTATATTTATAATTATAATTATATTATTTTATTATATATCATATTCAATTCATTAGCATTTAAATAAAGCACCTATACAATTGCTATTAAAAAGTGTATGGCATTTCTATCACTAACCTTGAACTTATCAAAAATAGCAACAAGTTTTGGTGTAATTAACTGCTGCTTTCCTCACTTTCTTTTTAAGTAGGATGGTCCAGGTTCATCCTCATGAAGTATATCTGACACAGAATAATCAAATCAAATATTACTTTTTTTGTTACTATCTTCTTCTGTATTACTAATACTAAAGTCTAATATGGCAAGCTCATCTAAGATATTTAATTTTATTATTGTAATAATGAAATGACACATTACATACAAGACATATATAGAGATTTTTGAAGTTTAATATCTCTCTGTTATTTTAATTCTTATTGTGTTTGTTCATAGTTTTTCGCATAAGTTTGAATTATAATTAGTACTAGCAATACAAACTTTTCTTTGTATATCTCGATGTCACGTTAAGAATAATTTATCTTCTTCCATTGTCATAATTTCCATTGCGTTTGCATGTGATATGTCGAATAAATCATTGAATTTATCAATAAAAATTTTTTCATTATTCTGATGGCACGTTGCAGTCCTTTTAGAATTTTTGTCCAAATTTTTCCATTCTGAATATATTGATTTCAATTTTTCTATGCTTCTTTGAAATTTTTTTACTAGAATTCTAGCTTTTTCTCAGAAAACTTCAACTTCTTTAATAATCAAATGAGCTCTAGTTCGCAAGATTAGTTTTACTTTTCTCTTATTGTAATAAAGAACTCTTAACACTTGAATATTTTATGGTAATTAATTAAATTAATTGTGTCCCTTGACCTCAAACCCATTATAATATTTAAAATATTAATGAAATAAAAATATTTTAAATTGTATAAAAACTAAAAATAAAAATCATAAGAAATATGTATATTTGAATTACTGATATCACAATACCAGAAAAATAATGTTGTCGTAATAATAATAGCTGTCTCGATGTATAGTTTAATTTCGGTGAAGTATAAAATGACAGGGAAAAGTAAAAATTTTATAAATGCAAGTCACGTTATCTAAAAAAAATCACAATTTTTGTAATTGTAGTAACTCAAAAAGAAAGAATAAAATGGGATCGAGTCACCTCGAATACCCAGAGTAGTATAGTGGCTATTTATGAACCTCTTACTTAACTCCTGAAATAGACACGTGTCAAAGATTAACTATGCCAAATAACTCTGTACAAACATTATCGATTTATTAAATTTACTTGATATAATTTGTATTATTGATAATCGCTTGATTTTTCTTTATGCTTACTTATTCTATGTAAATTCTACTCATAAAATTTATTTCTGAACCTTATGAAATTATTAGTCTCCTACCTTGATATATCCAATAATACTCTTAGATAAATAGATGTTGTTTTCTTATGCAATTATAACGTAGACAAGGCGAACCACTTCTTGCATCGGGTGAGAGCTGAGAAAAAGTAGTAACAGACACAAAAAAAAAAAAAACACATCATAGTAAAACCAATACCTTCTCAGCTTCGCATCGAAGCTAAAAATAAAATCGAGAATTTTCACACAAAAATAGCATTCGGTAGCCAATTTCACCCTGAAGACAAAATAAAGTACGAAATTTTTTTTTAATTTATATATAAAAGTGTCAGACTTTCCGGAACACTTTCAAAAGTTAAGTTGAAAAAGTTCTACTTTCTACATGCATTTTTTAGATTTAAACCCCCCTTGTACATAGGGAAATAGTCCGATTAAAAAAAAAATTATGCCGAATGAAAGATGTATATAAATACTACTTCTCATGAAAAAATTGTATTGATCCATAAATTTTTTAAAAAGTTATAGCATTTTAAAGTTAAAAATGTAAAATACAAAATCGAAAATTTTCACACAAAAATAGCATTTGGTAACCATTTTCACCTAGAAAACAAAATAAAGTCCGAATTTTTTTTTTAATATTATAGTATATTACATAAGATTTAATTTAAAATATATATATATAAGTGTCAGTATTTTCGGAACATTTTCAAAAATTAAGTTGAAAAAATTCTACTTTCTATATGCATTTTTATGTTTTGAAACCTCCCTGTATTAAGGGAAATGGTTCGATTTAAAAAAAAAAGTATGTCGAATGAAAGAGGTATATAAATATAATTTCATACAAAAAAATTGTATTGATCCATACATTTTTCAAAAAGTTATAACATTTTAAAGGTAAAAATGTAAAATATAAAATCGAGAATTTTAACACAAAAATATCATTTGGTAGCCATTTTCACCACGAAGACAAGTCCAGAGGTCAAATTTCTTTTTTTCATAATAAATTATATTATATTAGCTTTAATTTAAGATATATATAAAATTATTAGTATTTCCGGAACACTTTCAAAAGTTAAGTTGAAAAAGTTAATTTTTTGTGAAAAAGTTGTCATTTTAAATCCACCCCTGTGAGCAGGTAAAGGGTCAAATTTATAAAAAAAAAATACACCAAATAATAGGTAAAGACATCAAGTATCTATAAAAAAAAAAAATATATATTGATTTGTNAAATATACCAAACGAAAGGTAATGATATTACACATCTATATAAAAAATAATTATATTGATATGTTCATTTTTGAAAAAGTTAAGGCAGTTTTAAGTAAAAAAAATTGAGAACATTTCGAAAATTAGCGATTTTTAAATTTGTAATTTTTTTGGAGGTTTCCCCCATTTACGGGGAACGAAGGAAATTTTTTCAATTTTTGAGGGTAATGTCTTCGACTAGATACGATTTGTGATCTTTAGACGTATCGTTGAAAGAAATCGGTTGGGTGAGAGCTGAGAAAAAGTAGTAACAGACACAAAAAAAATAAAATAAAAATAAAAAAAAAAACACATCATAGTAAAATTAATACCTTCTCAGCTTCGCATCGAACCTAATAAACTTATGTAGCTAAAGACAACCCTAATAATTTTATTCAAGAAACACAGTAATTCAGTCATTGTCATGCTCATGATCATACAAAACTACCTAAGTTAATTAATTTATTTTTCATTTTGATTTACTATAGAACAATTTTTAGGTATTACTTTACTGATCATTTGGTTACGCTAAGCCCGATCATAGCTATTTTGGAAGGCCCAAGCGGCTATCGTCATATGTCCACCTTTTCAGTCCGCGCCTGATTATTACCAATTTTAAATGCACGTAAAAAAACGTTTTTTTTTAATGGGTTCTAATTTATTTATTAAACCAACCTGATGAGGATTTTAAACTATCATACCATTTTCAAGAGTAAATCTTATCATAAAATAGAAAAGTTTAGGAAAAAGTAGAAAAATCTGTGTATGGTAATTATTAGTGATGGGAAATATCGAATAGTAACTATCGAACTATTCGATAGTTACACAATATATTCGATTAGTTTTTAAACTATTCGATAGTTTATGTTAAAAACACACTATTCGGTTGTATAAAAACAATTCGAATAGTTATTCGATAGTTTTTTAAAATATTTGAATATGCCCATCACTAGTAATTATAGATTTGGAGAAAGTGCATGATAGAGTACTGAAAGAGGTTTTAAAGTGTGTATTAATTAGAAAAGGAGTCCCGAATAGGTACATTAATATAATATAGGATATGTATGGTGGCACTTGTATCAGGGTAAGAGTGTAGGAGTAACAAAAGGTTTTAGGGTAAGAGTAGGAGTACACCAAGATTCTGCTTTAAGCTACTTATTTTCTATAGTGATGGATGAAATTACTAGAGAAATACAAGGAGAGGTGCCGTGATGCATGTTGTTTGTTGACGATATAGTATTAATATATATGAATAAATATAATAGGAATAAGGAGAATAAATAGAATTTATAGAATTGGGAGAAAATTAATCAAAGGCTATAGGTGTAGAGATCAGTTCTTGAAGAATAGGGATTAAGAATAAGTAGGAGTAAAACAGAGTATATACAGGACGAGTTTGACAAAGGAGAACACGATTTAGATGAAATGAGGAGATCAGTGACAATAGATAGGACGTGATAGCAGAGGTGGAAAGTTTTAAGTATTTAGGATCAGTTAATCAAAAGAGCGGCGGTATTGACGAGGATTTAAGACACAGGATTAAGTCCGAATGGTTGAAGTGAAAAGAAGCGTCGGGTAAGTTATGTGAAAAAAGAATTTCAATAAGGATTAAAAAGGTAAGTTCTTTAAGACTGTAGTGAGTTACATTAAATAAAATTAAACAGTATATTTTGTAGTTTTTAGTTTTACATAATTATACATAATATTATACAGATTATATAGAAAAACATATAATATTTATTTATAAATGGATAATATTATTTTATTAAATAAAAATTAATTTACATATTTACTTAAAAAAAGTCAACAGCTCTAGAGCGTTTAGTAACGTTTATATTTAATAAGTTGTCAGTTAAGTTTTTAGGTATTTCATACAAATTTTTTTGACGTGTTGGAGTAGATTTTTTCAGATCACTTTTCAATGCAGATATTGCTGGTGAACGAGTAGGAGTAGATTGTGGTGATGGACTGTAAGATGCTCTCAGTGCATTATCTTTCCTTCTATCATTACTATAACGGTTGAAAACTAAACGTTGAGCAGCAGGTGACATATTATTTAGTCTATCTAAAGGACTAGTCATTAAATGTGATGGTGAAGGTCTACATAAACATAAAAAGCAAATTATTTAGATATATTAGTAGAATAAAATTAAAAATACATACGTGGATAATTGTTTTCTTGCTGTTTCTAGGGCTTTAATTTTTTTATTTCTATGGCCTTCACTAGCTTTTTCAGCAAGAGCATGAGCTAACCGTTCTCGTTTAGGTTGTTCAGGTATTTTAAAAGTCGGACCAGAATTATTAGGAGTTAAAGGTGTATCACTTCCATCTAAACGAAAAGGTGTACCCTCGATTTCTCCCCAGGTCATTAAAGGAGTTTGGTTTACACCAGGAGCAGGAGAGGGAGTTTTGACAAAACCATATCCATTCACTTTTGGAGTAATTGAAGTTAGTTCCTTTCCATCTACTCCTATTTTTCCATCTAACTGTCTAGTTTGCATATGAGCCAAACTACATAATTGTTGTTTGTAATGTTGTTCATTAAATGGATTCAGACGAAGTCTTGTGTTAGAATGATCAATTTTTTGACGTTTTGATGCCATACTTATAAGTTCATCTTTTGTTAATTGAACTCCATCAGGTACATACATTATATAATTTTTATTTTTAAATGTCCATGAATCTAAATTAAATGGTCTTTCTTTTTCTACAGCTTGATCTTCAATTGATGGTACTTGTAAATTATCAACCATATCTAACGCTTTTTTCTCGCCTTCAAATAACCAAGCATTCTATAAGGATAAATAATTTATATATATAAGCAAAATTTATATAAAAAAACCCAGCACAGGGGGGCCGTGGCACAGTGGTGACGTGGTATAGATGGATCAAGTATAATGATATCTGACAGTGATTAAAATCACTATCAAAAAAAAACGCTTCGATGCAAATCTTTAGATACTGTTTAATTTTAAAAAATTGGTGGACTATTCCAAAAGCTACATTTTCTGCTAGTTCATTATTAATATCCTAATTAAGATAAAGTATGTAGAATGAAAAAGGGATTATTAAAAAATATTATTTCTCATAAAAAAATAATGTTGATCCATACACTTTTCAATATGTCATAGCATTATAAAGTTAAAAATGTAAAAAATAAAATCGAGAATTTTCACACAA